TTTTGTCTTTTTTGCAATTCTGTAATTTACCAAATCGTAACATCCACCTTCTCTTTTCTGTAAAGGATAAAACTGACTTATCCGTCACTTTAGGCAAATGGAAAATACGTTCTGAACATTGGGCAATTTAGGAGTCAGGTTTGACAATTTACAAAAGGAACTTCAAAATTGATAAATTATGCTTTTTGCTTTGACCTAGACAAAAAATGTAACTCGATCACTTGTCTTTTCTGCGAGTTCATTTGCTCATTAATTTCTTTTCGAATGAAATTGTGACCATGGCACTTTTATAAGTTACAAATATTTTAATATTTTATAGTACTGAAGCACTAGTGGAGAGCATTTTGTTAATTAGTTTACAGATCAACTATTTAGCATTCATATTAGGAAGTCACTTAATTCATTCATTAACCCTTACGGTCAATTAGTATGCGGCGATAGGCTGTACTTGCGTTTTGTGATGTGAAAGGACTTAGAAAGGTGGCGTTGGCACGTACTGATCAGCACCTATTTGAATTAATGAAATGTGGACTTAGCAAATCAATCAAAAATGACCCATTAACCTATTTCCCCACGGCCCATATGTAGGGTAATTTCACATTCACAAATTTGATTGAGCACGGATGCCCATTATCTAGGAATGGACACAGTATCTTCCCCCTATCAGGTATACTAGATTATACAATCAGTTCTCATTGTTGTACAAAAAGGGTATTGTGTTAGATTAAAATTAATCATTCACCTTCCTGACACCAACGGAATCTATCTGGGAAGTATCTGGTAATTGGATTGGACTTCTGTCCTTTATTTGCTTTTAATTAATGCATTTGAATTGAAAGCTTATTTCCTAAGCACAGTGACATTAAGGCCGAGTAAGTCCGACTGACTGCTATCGAACTATTGTAGCGTCCTTATAACGACCTCCATTGGGATTGCTACAATCCTTTCGTTGTTGATAATTCTCACACCTTCGGAGTCGTAGTTTTGGTTATTTAACTTGCCGAAGCGTTTGATACGAGTAACAGATATCGATGGCCAGTTACTTGTGTTATTTTTTAATGTGCCCACATTTCATAACCACGTTTATAAGGTAGAATTTTTTATTTAATTAACTTTCTAACTACCACTCTCGTTTGAGGAAGTGTATATGACAATCGGTTTATGCGGGGGGATCGAATTGAGGAGGTCTATTTGGCTTAACTAGAAAGAACTGATGGTTAACAAACCCTTGACCTCTGACTGTAGACGAGAGCGCTTATCAACATGCCCCCACTACATCTATCTAGAAACATAAACATTTTAAAATACGTCAATTAAATCAACTATCCTTCAATGAGATTTTCACTTAAAATTTGCGTTTTTATATATAGGGCTAATAAATTATCATCACGCTAATTTTGTTGCCTTGGTAGCCTAAAATTTATTCACAACCGTCGCACAGAGGCGACATCATAGATCACTATGTCAATCACGATAAACAAAGAAAGCTTATTGGCACGCAAATGAATGGTTGAGAGTTATGCCTTCAACACCAAGTTTGTTCCTCTTTATAGGTATGTATAAAAGCTTTGAAAAAATGTTGACATTAATGCGTTTAAATTTTACTCAATCTTAATTCCACTATTTCGATTAAAGTTTATTTGAATAATGGAATTATCAACTATGTTATTATTGAAAGAAATAAGTTTGGTAAAAAGCCATAGAACTATAATTTGACTAAGAGACAGAGTACCTACAGTGCATTTCTGTTTAACAAACTCGTTTGCGGAGAATTTGCTATTGACTGGTATAAGCTAATGAATAAGTAATATAGTGATGGATCTTAAACTAGTGACCTCTATTTCTATCCCACATCATCACCAGCCAAGTAGCCGCGATAAGCATTGAAGCGCATCCAATGACCAACGTGGCTGGTCAGGCAAAACGGGAATGCAATGTAAACTTCCATCAGTGATATAAAAGGATGTCTCTGAAAGAAATATTCTACAACATTGTCCTTTAACGGCCCAAGACAACGCGTTATACCACAGTCCAAAATCTGGTAAATCTTCTGAATATCCACACACGCATTTGGTAACACATACTTATGTGACTCATCGGGCAATGTGATCACTTATTGAACATGTATGTCGGGATCGAATGAACGCACGTATGGCATAAGTGGTGGCCCACAGAAATGTTTTTCGGAAGAGATCTCTCAAGAATCTGCAAACTCATATTTCGGTAGATGGAGGCCCGTCACATTTTTGTTTTAAATTTATCAAGTCGATTTCATAAGCATACAAAACTCTAGAAATTATCCCGAAAATGGAAATTGGTGGCGCGCGATTGACTAACTTTCAGGTTGGGCACTTTTGTCAACGTATACGCATATGGCAAAAATGTCTATAAACCGGCAGTTGACTTCAAACTACCATGACTCGACTGTATGTCATATTTGACCACTTCCACAGTACTTACCCTTCATTTTTTTCTACCTTAAATATTTGCCTTTGTGTCTCCCTCTTTTACATTTGCGAAACACTTTTCTGTTCTCCCTCTCGACTTTTTGTGACTTTGATGTTCCTACCCTCTGTGAAGCCTGACCCTAACTAAAGGACTAATGATATAAATAAAATTACTAATTGAAATTGAAATTCACCCTTTTAGGTAAAAATCAATTAATTTTTTCGGTTCGAAATACCCTGAAATTCTATCTCTGTGTGATAAAAGGATATGGCAAAAAATGCTCTTCAACATGCGTCACTAAGGCCAGTGTCTTTCTTATGGATTTTAGGGGGATTTTCAGTAGGTTATTAAAGTTCCGCTTAAATTAAGTCTATTTGGACCGCATCAAAGAGTTTGTTTGGATTAGTCAACAATGTGTTATGGAAAGCAAAAGAAAATAGCATCACAAGCCTCTGTTAATTGAATTACGTGCACGCAAATGCCAAATATTTCATTTGCTACTTTAAACAGTTTAATTGAAAATCAGCACGCACATTCACTAAAGAGTGTACCACACTACCTATTACACGGTAACGGCGGAAAAATTTGCCAGATAGATATTGATATTTTCCTTCCCTATGAGGGGGAATATTTTGATTGAAGTCAAAGTACTGGATTGTTACTGACATTTGAATCCCCTTGAGCCCACCACCTCTGCGATGCCACCTTCGTGTCATTTAGAATTTATTTACTCGAGAAAGACATAGGAAATAATTTCACTTAAAAGATGCACAATTACGCAGACGCAAGCGCCAAGTTAGCATAAATAAAATTTAATTTGAATTTAATTGATTTAATTCTCTTTCAATAAGCCATTAAATTACTTTGTCTCGTTTAATGTCTGTAATGCTAAATAGACTAATTCCTTCATTTTTCATTTCATTAACACTTATGAAATGGGTTCTTACTAATTATTTGAACAACCTCCGGAATTTTCTACCAACTTTTCAATAGTATAAAGCAGCCATCGTTTGCTAATGTTCCTAGTTATTCAAACTCATAGTTGGAATACCAATTTCCATTTCAGATACATGTTAAACCACTAAAACAAAATTATTATTTTTTTGAAAATGAGTAAGTAAATAGTAACATATGTCTGTATTGTCTGAACAGATGAATAGTTGACTAAGAAATCTCTCAATTAACTATTTAAGCAGCCTGTGGAGTTACCTGCCGTTCTTTGTTTAAACGAGACAATTCCAAAAGAGTCATTTTCTTCCCCTCTGTTTTCTTCCGGTCCACATTTTGGTTGTGCCGTATTTGGCCCTCGTATTCTTGAATGAATCGATAGTGAGCTGCATTTTCTTCATCCACTCGAGATAATCTGTCTCCAGTAGAGAAAGTAAGCAGAATAACAAAGCACAACCATGTAACAGCACACATCGTGTAGGCTGTTTCACTTGCTGAAACATAAAATTTATGAATCTCTCTTGGTAAATTTTCACTTTAAGTAAATGAAAGTCACTTCCTAAACTGTACTTTTGCCTCAATTCGAGGTCTAAGTAGCATGTGCATTACTTCAGTCAGAGCCTGCTTATTTTTTAAAAAAATTAAGTTAAAGGAAAGCAGGTCAACTCTATCTCAGTGGAAGAGCAGAACGAGTCACTTGCTCTGGTTTAATCAATAGAAGTAAAGAAATAGTTACATTTGAAGTGCCATGTTTGACTAATTAAACCTGAATAAAAAGTTTTGGCTAACTTACTTTTACCAATGTTATAACTGTCTTTTGAAACAGGCTATTCTTTATTTTACCTTAAAGTATCGTTTATTTTAATCGATTTAACTGAGTGCACCTTAATAGCCAACTTATGCAATGATGTCATGGTATGTCCCTTCATAATTGATCTATTCCACTATTTTGGGGCAATCAAATCAGTCAGCAACTTAAATAACTTTCACAATACATAATCAAACACTCTCTGGTCAGCGAACACGCATCATAGTACTCTGCATGACATACCATTGTTGTACACCACTATTTCATCGATGGTCGCAACTTTTCAGCAAAAAAAGCTCTTAACTAATTGGTGCGAATAATCAATGAAGAAATTTAAAGAGTAAAAGCAAAATATGAATAGGACAATGTGACTTATAGTTTTGAAATCCTATCACATTGAGTATGCTTAGCTTTTTCTCAACCCGAAACTCTTTTCTATCTTTGGTCTGCACTCTTTCCAACTTAAGTGTTGTATTCATTATTAAAATCCTTTCTCTCCATTTCGCCACCAATCCTGAATTCAAATTGATTGTTCGGATGTACAAACTGACTAAATTAAGCATGTTAACTGAATATGATATTTTTGGAGTATATTTTATTTCCCTAAATGCATACCACATTATGCGGCGCCTAAATAAAAGCGACAAATACTCTGCTGCGCAATCGATTTACTCTTCTTATTCTTACCTTAGATTCTATAAGTCTTAACATGGTAGGTAGTACTATGGTGTGGTGGAAATCATGCCGGAAGTACTCAAATACCAGCCCCGTGATATACCCTATTAGGAAGTTCAAAGTGAGATCATGAGACCATTTAGAAAAAATAGCTCAAATTTATTTTTAGAGACGCAGATGATCCAGATTAAATCCGATAAAATTGAGGGTAAAATCAAACTTCATTTTCAGTCCGTAACCTGGACAGCCAGATCTTCTCTGAATTAATGTGTTTAAATCGTTTATTGATATCGATTATCGCAATAGAGGTCAAGACTATGCTTCAACTGGTATCATCACCATTTTTCCTGTAAGACCACTTGTCTATTACCTGGAAGTTGAGCTCTTCGAAAAAATGACAGAGGTTGTCTTGTCATTCGTTTTTTATTTCATGTCTAAAACAGAGTCCTTAATTTCTCAATAGTTATCTCTCCGTCTCATAAACAAATTCATGTTTAAGAAATTTCGTTCATAAAAATAGAGAAGAGCAATTAATTGGACATAATGACATAGTTTCCAGAAGCTGTTTGAAACATAAAGTAATGTATTGATGAAATACGATCTATTTATCAATTGAAGTGAAATTGCATATTTAGTACACTAACAATAACGATTCTACCATTTATATAGTACATAATAATAATACATCCTAAAAGAAAAAAACAATAGATCGAAAGTATATACGAATGCAGGCAGTAGCCAAAGGATTTGGGGAAATCTTTGAAAATTGATTGAAAGAAGGGATGCAAAAGAGCATATATAATTATACCAAATTTACCTGCTATATTTCATTAATAATACTAATCAATTCAAAGAATAAGATAATCCTTATTTTCCTTATATAAGGAAACAAATTAGAGATTAAACCAAAGAGTTTGTTAGAGTAAAACAGTGGGAGGAACAGAAGCTTCTTCCAATAGCTTGCGATGGAGGATATAGATGGCAAATTCACCGTCACTTATTATATAAGCTGCGCAAATAGTTCGGAAGGATTTATATAGTATGAGTGACAGTGCGACGACTCAATCATAGAAAATATCGAGTAGAATGATTTGGCGAAGTTAAAAATATTTTTAAAGTTTTCTTTCTATTATCATAGAAATATTTATTTATATCAAATGGCAGGCGTCTTGATGGCTATCATTAGCCCTTTAATTGACTTCAGGCTTCACAGAGGGGAAGGAACATCGAATTGAAAAAAGTCGAGATGGGGGGTGGAACAGAGGAGTGTTTCAAAGATGTAAGAGACAAACACAAAGGTAGAAAAAAGTGAGGTGAATACTGTGGAAATATACAAATATGGCATAGAGTGAGGTGATGTTAGTTTAAAGTGAGAAATCAACTGCCAGTTAATAGACTTTTTTGCCGTATGAATATACGTTGCCCAGGGTGCACCACGTGGAGGTAATTCTATCACACACACCCATGAATAAATATAATTTGCCACATATTATACTTGGTTTTAGTTTAACTGTAATAAGTTAATGTTTAAAGTGTGGGAACTTGTGATTCAATTCTTGCGTGGAAAGACGTCGGCTCATAGGCCAAAAATAATACCAGAAAACTTTCCCCTGCAGATGATACGATAATTGCTCCAAAAAATGACCTGCAAGATTGAAAAATCTAGCCGAAGAACTTAAGTAAGGAAACTAATTTATGAAGCATATCTTGGTAGGGACATAATTATCTATTATCAATTGCATAAAAAGTTGCCGCCTAAACCTAAAAGGCAAAATCATAATTTTTGACAAGTTAAAATAAATGCATTAAATTCATAATTTCAAAATCGAAAGAACTCAATAGTACTCTTTACTATGTTAATATAAGAGAGATCATTGCACTGCACGAATTGTATAGCGCAATAATTAATATGCAATGGGTAAATGACATAAATATAAAAGTATTTCAAAAATTTGTAAAAATAAAAGACTCGATAAATGCTAATTATGTTAGTGGCTCAAATTATTGTACTCGTAATACGAAATTTTATACAAATCCGAAAATATGTATTTGTTTACATTGTTCAATCATTCTAATATTTCAGAGCGCTGAGCTTCAGGGTTGTCCTTTGCGTGTTTATTTCATGCCTGGTTTTGTGCAGGCAATTTCTCTTTTTTTATATTATTAGTTCATAATTGGGCTGCGTTATGGTTCCGCATTTAAAATTTTATTGTACAATCGCTCCATGCATTCCTTTTAAGTGATTTTGTTTGAACTCTCGTTATTACTTAATATTGAATTATTTCAGCCATTGATTATTTTATAATTTTTGCTTGGTTTTATCATTTTAAACGGCACTTCTTTTTATCTTTATTCTTTTTGATTTTATCTTGCATTATAAGTCAAAATGTTGCTGATCAAGATAAATCAAGAATTGGCCAAATGAAGTGGATAGATTACATTATTTGGTCCATTTTATTTTGCAAACTTTTAAGCATTTGCTTTCTCTAACATTTTACCAACGCCTTTTGTCTAATAGTTCATTTTTTCGATATTTTTGTTCTCTCCGCTTTTATCACTTGGCTTTATATTTATTGTCGCGGCTAGGATTAAGTTTTTCCATTTACAGAAATTTTTTATGGCTATTTATGTCTAAAATGCCGAGTTTCTATATTTTCTTTAGATTTCCCACCATGGATCAAAGTAAACCGGTGTTACTTAATTTTGCGGTAACTTCTTTTTTTAATTTCATTGGATTTTAAATTTAGGATATATATGAAAAGTCCCCCCATAACCTAACACTGACTTCGAGTAAAAAAGGAGATGGAAAGAAGGAGGAAGGAGATAGAGAAGGAAAAGATGAAATCTATCGTCCCCCACATCTGAATCCCGTCTTTTATGGTTAATTTTACAATTAGTCTATATTGTGGGTGACTTAACTCTGTTACGAAAGCAATTAGTTGCTCTTTTTTCGCCAATTTATCTTTTACGATGCTTACAATAGTAATCAAGTTAGACGTATCTCCTCATTCTCTTATGACGTGTCCCAGAGTTTGATTGGGACGAGAACAAAAATTCAGGCGAAAATTGAGTAGTAAGATGAATCAAACTTTAGATAATTTATAACAGGAGTTTTCGTTTTTTGGACCTGTACGTATTCTAGACATTTATTGATTCTTAGTGTTGTTTCATTGATACTATAGTGCTCATATTTTTTTGCAATAAAGTATGCTTCAATTTCAACATCACTACAAGTATCTATGGTACTTCAATTTGCTCTTGACGTTTAAATTTTAATATTTCTTTTCAACGATGTTTAACCATTGTGTTTAGAGGATAACTCTGCTCCGCAGAAGACAATTTCGCGTGAAAAGCGCAGGGCAATGAAACGTCTACTTGAAGATCCCGACATCATGGAGGAAGAAGATTTGCCGACTGAGATTTACGTAAGCTGTTTTCTTTTCACCATCTACTTTTTTGCGTTTAGTATGGAGCCGCTCATACAACGGCCAAATACCTCGAGAAAATGCGTGAAAGAGAGAAGTACGAGGAAGAGAATTTCACTCGATTGCCTCACACTAAACGTGATAAACTAATTCAGAAACAGCTTGAACGTGGTGAAGTGTCATTTGGTGGCATGAGGAAGGACTATATCAAAAAGATTCTCGAGAGTGTACGTCTCATCTCCTCTATCTTATCTTTTTTTACTTATAAATAGTAAGTAGCACGATCTTTTTCTTTTGTAGTCGGATGACGAGGAAGAGTTGGCCTTTATCAAAATGACGGTAAAATAATTATTCTAAAATTTTATTAACTACTTGGAATTTTAGAGTAGAAAGAAAAAGATGTCTAAGCGGAAGAAAGGCAGGAGGAAATTCAGAAAGGGGCGATGATCTTACAAGTCTTGTATTTTTAGTGTACATAGTTTATGTAAATCTTTACCAAAACTATCTTCTTCATTTTATGTTAAAGTGGGGAAATTTTGCTTTTGCTGCTCCGTTGATTATTTGCCCTGTTGAATTTTTTTCGTTGATAGTTGGTAGGAATTGGTCGGGTTTTATAAATTTACCGTGCTTTAAGGTTGCAATTGAAACCTTGATTTGTTGTGTGAATTCATTATTTGCTTATCACCGAAAGGCTATTTGTTCTGCTTCCAACAGTATCTGTTAGGATTTTCTTTTATTGTTCGTTTTAAATTCTTGTTTTAAGAATCGACTTTGAGTATGATTCGTAATGTGAATACGTGATTGAGTCTTTTTCCCTATTGGATGATTTGCTTGTGGTAAGTCACCGGAGCACTGTCATACCTTTTGAAAATATTTCTTGGGTTACATACTACTTAAGTTTTTTGTAGGCTGTTAGTTACATTGGTAAGATAGGTGTATGCAGTTTATAAATTAGCAAAGATTTGTGGAGTGGATTATTGTGCCAGCAGATTACGCCGTTGGAAGTCAGGTTCAGACAATTTTGCTTGATAGGGTTTCGGTTCTGGAAAAAAGGAGATCTGTTTCTTAAGTATATATACTTTTTACCAGGCCTGGGGCGCCGCCGGGATGAACCTCGGTGGTCCGGGGTACAGGCTTCAAACCTGTGGCCGATTAGCGTCGGAGCGGTTCGATTCCGCCTTCTCGGCGTTCGTATGTATCTTCATGCCAGGTCTGAACAAACAGTGTAGGCCACGTCATAGCCTAGTTGTCTGCGGGTTTATTCGCTAACTGACAATTAACCAGAGAGTGAATCGCCTAATGATACGTGAAATTGAGCTTACCTAGTGTTGATCAGTTGTCAGCGCCGGACTGCGTTACGTCACCATTAATTCATCAGATGTCATGAGTGGGTTTGTTTCTTCATTACAATGTTGTGTGATGTATATTAACAAGTGAAGGCTTTGTGTACTGCCGAGGTGAGATCCTTGGCAAGGAAAATGCTTTAGTTCTATTAATAGAAGTGTTAATTAGCAGTAGGTAATGTTTAGTTGATTTATATATTTAGCAAAAGTTATTATTGGTGATGTACACAGACTACATTTTATTACTTTAAAGTGTAGCGGATTGCTACGCTAGTAAGGCCTGACTGACTCAGAAATCTCTTGCAGATTCTCCGACATCTAGCTAGACTCCCAGAATCAGCTAAGCTATAGCCCAGCTATAAAGGAAGCAGACGTGTAGCAAGGAGCACGTTTATTCAGTAAGTATATTTTGGATAAAGTGTACACGCAGGGAGCTTAATCATGATCAGGATGGCGGATTAGGTTAAACAAACAGAGGTTAATGATCGGTCAATGTTTGTACGGTCGAACCTCCCAATCCTGGCGCGCAGGCATGCGATGACGTGTCCCACAAAAGCTATTCAAACAACTTTCATCACCAT